GAGTGAGGAGGAGTTTGGGACTAATTGTAGCCATATTGTTTTGAACTAGTGTTGTTTAAAAGGTTTGGAGAGGTATAGGTTAGCTATGGGTTCAAGTAATATTATTGATGATGATCATCAACATTTGATCAGGGTTGAGGGGTGGTTTGAAGGAGTAGTGGTGGTGGAGAGAGATGAAGAAATTAATTTATTGATGAATAGGGAAATGGGAAAGAAGAATAATAGTGTTGGTTCCAAAAGAGTTTGAATTTCAGGTCAAGTATAATTAACGCACGCGTATGAATGAAAGAATGAATGAGTGAACGTAATTAATTAAGTTTGCATAAAAATAATGGCAAAGAATATAATTGGAGCTACGTACGTACTCAACAAAAAATGGGAGTGGGCGCGCGGATGGGATGAGATGGGTCCAAGTGATAAGTACTTGTGTGGTTTAATTTGAGTGTGAATAGTTCGAATTTGTAAGATCCAACGTCAATATTGTAATTAGCAGCTTATTGCCATATGATCATTATTATTGTAATAATTATTGTTTGATAATTATTAGAAATATATAGCTCAATGAAACCGGCCTTATTATTATTATTATTATTATTATTATTATTATTATTATTATTATTATTATTATTATTATTATTATTATTATTATTCATAACGGTATAGGTCTTATCATATGATCATATCTTTCCACTCCTAATCATAAGCTTATTATAACTATCATTAATTAGTTTGTTAATTGGTTAACTAGTCGTACACTTAGTTGGTTCTTTGAGCCATTATTGTAGTAGGGTCATATAATTAAAGAAAAAACAAACCCCATATATATATCTGTCCTTTTGTGCAAGCAAATTATAGAAACAAATAATTAGTAATACTAATAGAAAAATTAAATTAAAAATTTTGGACGACTTGGACTATTATTTACTTGGAACTAGAGCTAGCGGGTCAACAGTTTTGAGAAATATCTCTACGTAAATTTTATTATAATTGTTAATATTTTTTTTTATTATAACATGAATTTGCTATACAGAAAATAATTAAGTGGTGGTTTATTTATTTAATAAAAGTTATAAATACTATTGATTGATCACGTCTCTAGCTGGTCCTGGACAACATGTCATGCATCATATTTATGTTGTGGAATTTTCTTTTATTTTGGTGAATATATGAAATAATAATTAAATAAATGAGGAAAAGTCGAGACGAAGGCAGACAAAAGTATGAAAATGAAAAGGGAAATAAAGATGCAAATTCGTGTTATTGACGCGGAGAGAACAAAAGGAAAAAATTAATAATTAATTAATTTACAGTTAGAATGCGACACACGCAAGGGCAAAGGCATGCATGCAAATTTATTATGAAAAACAAAAAAAAAAAAAAAAAATTAAGCGTCGACAGCAGGATTCGAACCTGCGCAGGCAGAGCCCAACAGATTTCGAGTCTGTCTCCTTAACCACTCGGACATATCGACTACTTCTGGTTATGCTTCACTATTTACTTAATTTCATTATGAATTTTACTTTTATATAGTTACGGTAGGTTTCTAGTAAATGAGTTTTAGTGTGGCATGTTATAATTCAATTTTTAATTGTTTCTAATAAATGAGTTTTAGTGTGACATTTGTAAGAGCATGTTATAATCCTATCTTTAATTGTTGTGATAATGCCATGTTATAATTCTATCTTTATTTGTTGTGATAATGCCGAACCCAAATACAAATAGCATTTAAAAATAGTTTTCCTACTATTCTAACACTAACACTTGATCTAACCACAGGCACATAGCAGCATATTGCTACTCATACATATACAGATTCTGTTTTTGGTCACAGGATCATCAATAGTGAACGTATATAATAAGCCCCTTTACCAATTGTGCTTTGTTCAAGCGTGAAAGAGCCAGTAAACAAAATGCATTGCCAAACGACTCAACCATTCTGATGAAATCAATAGTTACAAACTGAAGTTCAATAAATGTCACTCATATTACAGAGCAGGGACAATAAAGAACTCAATTTATTTCAAAGTTTATTGCATAATAGAAACTTCCTGGGCCTTCCGAACTTGTTTCCCCCTGATCTGTTTTTTGTTACTGATGCAGAGGTACTATCAATCAACTTCCTAATGATGGTCAAGTTTAGGCGTAGAAATCCCTGCTCGAGACGAATCGTGTTCAAACGATCTTGATTTGCAGACTTTCGGAATATTGGGTCCAT